ACGAAAAAGGCAAGATTTACCATGTGAACAACAAGATTTCGAATATAAAACCAGATATTCGAATATTACAACATTGGACACACCATACCATGGCTAAGAAGTCGGTTTCTTGTCCACCAATACAATGGTTGAGTAGAAGCGATATTTACAATACTAGCTTTTCTATTTCTGATTGTCTTCGCCTGATAGTAATACTCTAGATCACCATAAAAACAAATACTTTCACATCGTCCGCTGTTAAGAGGGGACAGCGTAATTATTTTCCTCGGATGAAATTGAAATATTTCTTTCTATTTGTTCATGTTTGTTATGTTTAGTGCGTGTTAAGTGAATTAACTCATTGTCTTTGACGTAACAACTGTATATCAACAGAGGTCATTGGTCCAGTTTGAAACGCGTATTCAATCTGTATAGCGAATCACTATAACATCATGACATATTTAATTAACCAGCATGGACCGACGACGTTAACGTTAATATGCATGAGAAAGATATCTCTGTGTGACTAGAAGAAAGATATAATATAGCATTTCATCCGCTTATTTTGTCATTTATCTATATTTAAAGGAGCATTTAGTTGGAACGTAATGCAAAAGATATATTTGTTCAGACATTAACGTGATATAAGATATTTCTTTCAATTAAACAGACCCAGAAGTCAAATAAATGAATTCAAAACAACATACAAACAGTCACAAACATAACCAATAACAACATCAGTTCAAGTCTGGATAGTAGTTGTCTGAGAAAAAAAATGTTGTATTTCAATAAATTTTAGTGTCAAAGGACAAATGGATTGGGCAGCAGGCATAGTCTATTTAAGCCCTTTCCAAACATAGTAACAGACAGTGGTACAAGCATAGACATAGACATGAGAACACATACAAACACATATAAGCAAGTTGGTATTATTAAATTAATAATCAAATTAGGGGAAACAACTAATAATACTCATTTTTATTATAATTGAATCTAATGGTTTAAATTCTAACCTTTTATTTTGATATCAAAAAGACATATAATATATATACCGGTATATATATATATGCATATTATGAAGAGAAAAGAAAAATAATTTGTTGATGGAGCTGCATGTATAAACATTTGAAGGGATTAAATTACCGCACCCAACAGATACAGGCCAAAACAACGTTCAGCAGTTGTCCCATAACACTTGACAAAGAATCCACGGTGAGGTTAAGATGTCTGGCTTCTCGTAACAACTATGTTTTATAAACATTGAATTGGAGAAAGCAATTGATGAGTAAAGATCATGTCTGAGATATATGAAGTATATGAAATCTATTTTCTACCAGTCCTTGAACCAGCTATGGTATTAAATGGGGGTTTCATATTTAAATTAGCATTTTATCAATCATGTTTAGCTAGTAAGTAAGAACATGCATTGGGATTTCTATATTGTTATCACTTTTTCATCAAAATTATGAAAATGCAGAAGGTATGATGATATATTAATGAGATAAAAATATATTTCGATGGAAAAAGGTGCGTTCTTTTATTCTGGTTTTTCAATGTTCACCCACTAGGTCTATGTAGGCATGGCAATTTTGTCTTTTAAGGGATACATTTTGACAAGACAGATTGAAAATCCTTGCCTACTTTTCAAATGTAGAAAATGAACGTGACGACAACATGACAGGACATTTTCTACAAACGTAAAATTTGCTTTTTTTTGTATCAGGATTATGTTGGTGTATGTAATATGTCTATGATGTCCGTCATGAAAGTGTTTTGCTACAGAGAATGTCCTGTTGTTCGTATGCCTATATAGATCCGACCTCTTAGATTCTTCCATTATTACGTACAAACCTACGTACACAACTGCTAATTAGCTTTGTATATTATACATGCGGAATAAATTCAAATTAAAATAGCGAACCTAATGTCTACTGGAGTGTTCACCTGTCAGAAGTTGTCGGGATTGGAATGTCAACCACAAAGATAACTTATCAAACTTGCGTAATGTTTGCAAGTTTAATATGACTATATATTGTCACCTTCAGTATAGAAGTAATAAAAACGTTTCAAAACATACAAAAACATACGTAGAACAATAGTGCCCCAGGCTACGTAAAACAGCGCCTTAAACACCACAAATAAGTTAGTGTGTTGACCTCCACAGACGTATTACGTATCATTTGTTTAGGCTGAAATTGCTATCTATCACATTCATAATTTGTCAGCAGATTCTCTGTCTAGCAGATGTTTCATTGCTCCGTGTCTCATGTAGAGATCCTCGTCACTGATGGTTGGATGCAAAAGTTTGAATATTAAAAGGTTAAACAGTAATTCATTTATCAACTGTGGCACAAACCATTTAATTAGGTATAAGTAACAAGTTGGTTTTACTAATCACAAACATAAATTTTGTTAAACACCATGTGTGTCCGCCTTAGTACAATCACGTATGCGCATGTGCAGTCATATCAAATGCACGTGCGGCGGCCATGAAATATCATTTTGACAGTTTTTGCAGGCGGTAATGTTTCAAGGTCACTGACAATTGTGTACCTATAAAGAGAAGAAACTAAAGGACGAGGCAACAATCAACAGCATTGGATATGGAAAGATTAAAACCGATTCTTGACAAATATGTGTATATCGCATTCTATATATATAAAAAAAAAACATATGTTAAACCAGACAAAGGTGGCGTCAAATATTGGCCTATTTGAAACATAACATGATGCTAATAATATCATAGATAAACCTGTCACGATGAAATAAAACATTGAAATTTATAAATAGCACATGCTTTAATTAGGCAATATACAACTTGTACTTAACATAAATTATAGACAAATACAGTCACAAACGTCGATTTGATTAAAAACATATGTGTACATGCGGTTTCATGGATATTATCATGCATGCACACATGAAGTCAAGTATAAGACAACTCGATCACTTTCTCATATTTACATATAAGCTTAATATCTATGAGTATATAGGTACAACATATGTATTTACAATATACGTATGTTCACCTTATGTTGGAAGATTGTTACATGTGTAAATGTGAATATTTGATATAGAGGTCAGTGCTATATACAATGTATTCATAAAGTCTATGAGATGAAAAGTGAAGGTATTTTGCATGTTGTATTTGAAATTAGGTATGTGCGAGATGACTACTGAATGTGTATAATATGTACATTGCTATTATTCACAGTATATGTGTGAACAGTGAATTTAAGTGTATCATATGAGTTGTATTAATGCAATCTATACAATGAAACCGTATGATATACACTCAAAGCTAAACAGTGTATATAATTATAATATATTACGATTATTTACGGTAGGGGTCATCCAAATGAAGAAAAACCCAATAATACCTAACATAAATGTTAAGCTCGCCTAAAAAGCCTGATATGACGTAAATTCGTTTTTGTGCTGCCGTTAAATGTTAAACTACTAAATATTTACTCATATATCTGGAGATTTAAATGTAATGTTAACACATTAGACGCCTTATTACTAGCTTTGTACAGTTGTTGAGTGAAAAGAAGCGCCAGCGAGTAGCCATTTAGTGATTGTACGAGGAAACGTCCCAATCGACTATTTTGTATCATGTCCCTACAAACAGAGGGAGATCTCACTATGTAATACCGGTCTAAAAAGTCAGCTTCACAAGGGAACTCAACAAAACATATTGACATAACATACCAACTTCAATTAATGATTCTTCCACAGTTATGGAAACGCCCCGACTCACCGACGAGTCGCGATATCACCCTTGGAAATACGAACTATTTGATCTTGAGGAATGTTAAACATAGCGGAGTGATATTTTTATCATTGGTTTGCAGGTTGGGTTTTTCATTTCAATGGTTCACACACGAGACCTTGACTTTGATGGCGGGTTCCTGTTGAGAACTCCTCAAACATTATAAAATTGTGTTTAGAAATCTTCTCCGGTCTTTATTCCATTGAATACTTGCTTGTTTTCTAAAGTATTTTGCTGATTCGGGTAATAAATTTGGTCAGTTAAGTGACCGTGGACAACACTGGACATAAGTCGTTTATGGTCGTAATCATAACCTTAGAATAACTTGTAATGACTTCGGTGTTTAAGTGACACTTAAATAATGTAAATTGCAAACACAATCCTAACACAATGAGGAGTCAAAGAAACGTCTATCCAATTGTCATCTGGGATTACTGTTGACAAACAATTCACAACAAATGCATTTTAATAGACAAGATACCAAGGATGTCGGAATAATAAGAAGACCTCTCCATGCCCTCTGATTTAATTGATATGATAATCACTTGGTATGCTCAATTAGTTTGTATGAATGGCACAAAACATAATAAACATGCCAATCAGTTGCTTTAGTTTCAAATTACTGCGAGTAAATATACCCTTCATTAAGTGTTTAACGTTTGCATTAACCAATCAGACATTCAAAAAGTAATTAACGATATATTGATCCATAATGTAATGAACAAGATTAGATGTACTAGTGCTGACACATATTTATGATCGTATGGTTGATTGTACGAATATATTCCTACACTCCAATTGGTTGACCTGAAACTGACCAGTATCCGAGTCTTGCAGAGTCGGACTTTTCGGGATACCGTAAGCTCCGTATGTCAGGATAGTATCGCCTTGCCATACACCATTCAGCTCACGAGACATTTAACACAAATGAAATCGATCAATGAATCGATAAGTGTAATTGCCTTCGATCACGATTGGTTTTGGCTGACAGTCCACTTACTTAAACATGTATACATATTGACAACATTAAACGTCCTCTTTGTCTAAACAAGGATAAGTCTATGAATATTCCAAGTAAACTAATTCTATTTTCAGATACTTACTACTAAGTCAGGGCGTCAACAGAATTAAGTAACCGTGTCATTGTAATTTTTTCTCAATAATATGCTAATAAGGTTGCGTGTTGAATCTTGATCAGCCATGTGATTGGGTTTAATTTTGTGTTAATACCGATAACAGATCAGTCATTGTGTGACGTTACGGTGCATTACTATAGAGTGAAATGTTGTGATGAGCAGGACTAATTACAGATGTCTAAAGGAAGCCTCTCTATAGGTAGGTTATTTTTCCTTATTATCCAACCGTCCTACGTGAGAAGAATGTTTTATAATGTAGCCTATAATGCAACACATTTCAGTTTGTTTGTTTTTGTTTTTGATTTTGCGAGGATTCATGCTAATTGGTATACTTTTGATTTGCGTCTCCTCGATCCCTGTTGTGTTTTGTCGTTGTATGTTGACAGATTGGTACGAAGTTTGTTTGTTTTATCTAATAGCTATCCACATTTAGCTTTCTCCTTACTATTTGTGTGTTAAAATCGTGTTTCTAGCTGTACGGCTTGCTTGACAGCCTCCAAAGTACATATCGTATGTTCGTGTGGCCTTGACGTGTTATGTAAGTTATTGGTTCACCTATTTACCAATACAGGATATGGCAACGATTGACGACTCACGATAGATCATAAGAAACCAAATCTCCATGCCATAGAAGACGTAACCAGTGTGTATGCCTTTCTGTATCTCTGTCTTCAAGTCTGTTGGATCCATTCTAAGACATAGACATGGCAACATCACAAGCAAACCGCTTTGGTGTTTTCTCAAAACAAAAAGGAAAAAACATATATTCCTAGCACATATGAAAATATTGAGAAATCAGTCATTATCAAAATTGGTAGTTTTTTCATAGCGTCACTTACACTGTCATGTCAATATACCTTCACTTAACGGGCCTTAACATGAATATCGGTTAATATTTTAATAGGGTATGTCATTGCTACGTGAAACTAATCAGAGGTATAGCGCAGCAGGTATTTGAGAATAGGCTAATAAAGCCCCCCTCCCAATATCCTCAACGCTGTTCTGTGTTCTAGCGTCCATGGAAACCAGGCTATTACACGTTGTAAATAACTAATTTGAATTTCAATGAGTTTGTATACAGTACTTATCATGTCAGAACCTAATTATTTATATTTCCTATTTAAAATGAATACCTTCATTGATACAGTTTGTGTATAATAGTGCCTTTTATGTCTTTGAAATAGGTGCATAATTAGTAAGGGAAATATACATATTCATGTGTAAATTAACAAAAACTAAATGCATAAAAAACGCAATCATGGTCTTAAACTATAAAAGGCAACCTCTTACCAAAAACATGAGTTTTACCATTAACCACTATCATCAAACACGGTAAGTAAAAAATAGTTTTGATGATATTTTACAGAGAGATAATATATAATGTTTCCTAGACAATTGCTAAAATCGACTAGAAGCAGACAAAATTGTATTAGCTTATACAATAATTATAAACATTAAACTTGATGTACCATGGTTTAGCATAATTAGAGAATCAACATTAGTCAACATTTTTTTCCATTCTTAGTTAGGTGTAAGCAGTCAATTATTTTTGTAAATATACAGCTAAAATTAGATGCTCCAGTAATAAGTCATCATAATATATATGTTACACAGGTGTCTTTTAAAGTCGTTCTATTTTTGTAACATGAAAACATTACTGTATACATAAAACAAGATTACGAAACTAAATAATCTTTTCAGGCGTCCGTTTATTTCAGATAATAATTTAGTTTCTGTCATTTCTGATGCTTCAAGTAATGATGTCATAGAGATAAGATCTCGCGAGACTTGTGGCAATGCCATAAGTATACACGAGAATGACATAATCCATGTGTTTGTGTATTCACTTTTTATGTGAAGCATTAATTTTCAAGTCCACAGCATAGGCTGTAGCCTGATGACTTTGTAACTTCTGTTTGATATTGTAATCAGTTATAAAAAGGTTATCACTCTATCAACTGGTTTGTTTTCTCATTACTTTTGATAGAATACCGTTTTAACATTTAGAAACGTGTAACGCAATCGAATGTTGTGTACTGCCTACTCATTCATGCAAATATATAAGTTATATATATAGATATATTCTAAAAAGAAAAATTATCAACAACGAGTCTTTAATACTTTCATCTCTTCTAGGAGATTCTTCAGACTATATATATATATGAATTTAAGTGCACATGCTTAATCTATTATCATTTCTTTGGGACAGTTTGGCTGAAGATCAGCAAAACCAGCCATAACATATCACCAAATGTACGATAAGCTCCCCTGATAAGCCTACGTCATCAGAAACCGTTAATAGGGGTAGTCCAAACAAATTGGACACAGGCTTGATGTTCAAATTGCTATTTTAAGGCCATATATCTGTATGTGTGTCCAGTTATCAATATCCGGATGAAAGGAAATCGCCTCCGTGTTTATTTTAGGTGTATCTGAGGTCAGGGTTAGTTCGACGCCTTACTGAAATTGATTTTGCGCTTATCCTTGGAGAGTAGATAAATTGGTGTAAAATTGAGAAAGTGGTCACCGCATTTAACCGAAAGTCAAGCCCAGGCACCTCGGCTATAGAAACAGTGAGCCTAAAGTATCGATATATCTAACTTGTTCTCTCAGCGGGAGTCAAATTGTTTGAACAATATTTGACCTTTGATTTTTTCTGACATAATCAAGAGAGACCCCTTCCTCTGAGGGTCTTGTCGGTTCTCCTTTATTAGGCGGAGTGGTACGGGGGGCGTGTCGCAATGTCATGTCTTCAAAGGCAGACACCAGTAGCACCGGGAATCCTCCGCGGGTAAGGAGCCTCCATTGTGAAGAACTACTTCTTATGTTTACTTAAGAGCGATAAAACATAAAGTAAAAAGCTACTGTGAACAAGGGACCGTTTGTTTTCGTTATAACGTGTGGGTTTCACCTACCCGCTATATAAGTAACGGTAACCCCTGCATAGTCACTTTACCACGAATCCGTAAACCAAGACCCCCAATGGACTGCGGATATGACATATATTCCGCGGCCTCGTATTTAAGTCTCAACTACACGGATTTCAAGTTTAAGAGTGTGTCAACAGAGATGTACCATAGGATCTTAAAGAGTATTTAGGACACAAACGACCACCTTGGCCTCTCTCGAGATTTTCTGGATTTAAAGTTAGAGGAGTCGGTGATGAGAGGGATTGTGAATCTCTTCACTCGATATTTAGCTTCTGTCAATGAGGATAAAGTAGCGAAGGTTTCATTAGGCACCACTACCACCCAATACCTTCATTATAACACCCATACATCACCCACTGTCAGACGCACTTTTATGTTCCAAATGTGATTTAATAAAGATATCAGCAATGTAACGTAGTTGATTATTTGTAACCCATGTCCTCTTTTTTCTGGACTAAAATTTGTTTCACAAGGCGGAGATCTGATAACAGTCATGTAGTTAGTAGAAATGCTGATATATTGAAAGTGTAAAGTGTGAATATACCTTAACTATTATCAGAACTATACTTAAGAAAACACATAAGATCATCAATTATTATTTAATTTAATTCAATTATCTATTATGAAAGGGAATTTTAGGACGTGCTTCAGTCTGTTTAACAATAACTTGAGTTATATTTTTTACTATTATTATCATCTGTTTGTTTTTTGTTTAAATGGAAACACTCTATCTTTCGTATGAAATGTACATCGTTGTCATTTTATGCAATCAGTATTGGTGTCAGAAACATGTTCACTTTGAAATATCATGTACTCGTAAGGGGAATAACTCAGCTTACGATTCATTTTGTACATGATTAATAGCGTGTCGATGACGTCAACTGTGTATAGCTTTGCACCAACATGCAACGTACAGATTTACCTTTTATATTTTTTATGGAACATTATCTTTGAAATATTATAAAATAAGCTAGTATCAAATCTTACGTCACTACGTCTCTATAGCTGTATCAATCTGAGTCCGAGAACCCTGGTCTCAGTATATCAAAGACGATCGATTTATACTCGAAATCTGCGATTCTATAAAGCAAATATTAGACTATATAAGAGTTTTACTGCTGAACACAGGCTTTGTCAGAGTGAATACTTATTCAGAACTGTCGATACATGCCGAATGTGAGGAGACGGTAAAGCGGTGATACTAAAAGGCCTACGTGTCAGGTACTGTGCTAGATTGGTCTCTGTTGTTTACAAACGAGGATATATAACTGTGATAATATGGTTGTATATATGTGGTTATTTTTATATAATAGCATAGGATTCATTTGTGCAGCTGCAAATATTTGTGATACCCTTGTAAATATGTAATAACAAGTGGTACACCTGTCATTACAAAAGATACACCTGTTGTCAAAAAGATAAACTATAGATATGTAACAACATAATATACACCTTTATATCTGTAATTACGTACCAGTCATTACATAAGACACACATACAAATATGTAGTTATGTTAGATACACCTTTACATCTGTAATTAGGCCTACATCAGATGCGCATGTATATTTGTTATTACATAACATACACATTTACAGCTGTTATTACAACATCAGTAATAACTTGTGTTAACTTCGTGACATTTTTGTTGATTTTTGACGTCATGTCTAAACTTAGCCATCTTTCAATAGGATTTAAGTGGTAAGTGACACCTGGCTTAATTGTTACCTGTCTATAGATTTTTTGTTATTCCCGTATTTTCTATGTTCTTTGTTTATCGCAATTTATGATACGTTAAAGCACATGACATCATCATTCGTATATTAGGTATGCATAAAACATTTTAATTTGCATGTGAATTTGCCTTATATGGCATGAATTTTAATTCTTTCACTTAAGACATCTCATTTAATAAATGTAGTAATGTAATCGTTACTTTGAATGCTCAACGGGTAAATAAAACAGATGTGTCCAGATCATATATTGAGCTCATAAGTGTTGAAATCAAAGTTATTGTATCATCTTATCTTATCATCTTAAAGAAAACTTTTTTTTTTTTTTTATATGAATAAAAGGAAATTATTTTAGTTTTCATCATTTGTTTCCTTTAGAATATATAGGGAGTTTTAGGCACCAATGAGGTCAGGAAAACCTGTTTTAAAACAGAAAACAGGACATAAACACATAAGATTTAGCATACAGATTTTGCAGTCACGGAAACAAGCTATAGAGATCTCGTATTTCTGTTTGAAACACTTCCCATTGTATCTAAAGAAGGTTTTTGTATACAAAGGGCGTTAGCTGGTAAGATATATTTTTCTTTTCAGAATCTGCAGCAAAAATAACGCTTCGTCATCATGAGGCAAAATAATGAAAAAGAAATACCCGGGTTCTGGTATTGTTATGCGCTAAAGTTAGGAAATTTGATTAACCTTTATTTTATAAAGAAAGCAAAATTGGAAAGTTATTATGAAGTAATAAGAAGTGATTCTATTTAATATTGTTGCAAATTGTAAATAGCACATCGCCACTAATTTAGCAACTAAGGTGTTTCGATCTGGAAGCGTTCAGACTATTGCATGTCATCTTAATAGACAGCATCACTCGCGGAACGTCTCTCCCACCCTCCTGAGACTTATTAAGCCAGTTTTACAGCCTACATTATCTTCTCCGGTCGTTTGTCCTATCCAGTTTTGTCTAGACTTTGCAGGATAGAACAATATCTTGACAATATTATTGCTATCCCCGAAATCTATCCGGTCATCAATACCTGTATGAATGGCGAGCTCTAAGTAAGGTAGAAAACAGCACAGATATCAATAAGAGCTTTAGGCACGACTTCGAACGTGCAATTTATTTGGATGTGTCTATCATGGATGGGTAGCATATATGTAAGTAAAATGTTACTCTAACACGTACCGTCTCTAATGGTTTTCACATCATCATAATTATATTAAACCGGCTACGGTTTGGTATCCACATTCTTATGGTTGTGTTCTGTAGTGGAACGCTTTGTAAATGATTCGTGCTTGTCTCCCGTATTTTTATACAAAAAGGCCTTTTTATATATTTAAAATTACTTGATCTTACAAAAGCATAAGTGTAACACTCCATGCTAACAAACAGTTATCATATCAGATTCTGTAAACATATATATTTTACTATTTTAAAATGACATATTGTAAACATCAGAGATATGTACGACCATTTCGTATGCAGTGTAGACGCACTCGATCAATAGCCCACATACGGTGTTATGTTAGCATACCACTTACTTGAAAGGGTAGTCAGACAACGGAGACGTTCTACAACCAATACGATCAATTGTACATATCCAAAAGTTAACTCAATAATACACTCATTGCTTTAATGGCTACTCTTTCTCCTGTGTTATGGTCTCAACAACGTTTTCGTTTGATGTTTAAGTTGAATTTAGATTTGTTTGGCTTCTTGAAGGTATCTTGAAATTGATTTGTATATCACAAATCGATTTGTCGTTTGTGTTTGTTTAGTGTTATGCAATGTAGATGTGTAAGATCTATGGTACTCAAATTCAATGCAGTTAACTGTAAACTTCGGTCATACATTTTTCTCTCTTTTAACCTTCCTGAGTCAGAGATAAGATATATTAAGCGACACACTGTAAAGAAATATCCCGATAATACCGGTGTATATGACTTGAGACTGTGGATCGGGAGTTATATTGATATGCTAGTGGATTTAAGGAGGTCACGTCTATAGTAATCATAAGTCGTTAAGCATTTTTTCTTGTCTAAATTAACGCTGCATTACCTTGAACCAAGCACTAGTTTAATATACCTCTTCCAGATTTATGTGCACAACTCGAAATTTTGCATTGGTTTGACATCTGTGATGTAGTTAGTGTGTGATTTTAGCAGCGAATATCGCAAATTTCTGCCTGCAAGTTTACACAGCGATGGGACATCTATGATATTCTATATACATTGCAACATGAATACAAATCTAAAAGTGTAAACGTTTTGAGACAGTATGAACACACTTGAATATGCAAGACTTTTATAAACATTGAGGTAAGTTAACAAAACATAACTGCCATGGTCTAATGTTTCTTTGAGATTATGAACATCCATTTACTCGGATATGATTGTCACCATTTGAGGGCTGAAGATGAACCGCTACTAGCTTCATACTTGTGCAATTTTCACTCTCTCCAGCCAATATTGATATATAATTTTATTTCTTAATTATGTTACCTTTTTCTTGCGGTATGGAAATCGGATATATCCATGTATACATGAACTATGATTCCACTCATTCTGCATTCCAAAATGTGTTGTCGCTATCTAAAGAAATAAAAACAACTCTATATTAGTATTAGAATAAACCTGTTGAATAATTGATACTCCAGACGAAAATTTATTTAAAACTATTTAACGCTTGGTATTGCATCATAAATAGTATACAATGATTATTCATTGGGTGACGCACATTTCAAATAACTAGCATATTTCTTATCATCAATTATAATCATCGTTCATGTTTATATATATGGATATAAATGAAATCCATGTTATTTAATTTAAAAGTTATCAGACGTTTGACATTACGAACTAGGGCGATTGCATCGTTCAAAATGGGGTTTATTGAAATATTGTGAATTTATGTGAATTGTGGCATTTTAGTTATCTATAGTACAGTAACAAATGCACCCAACACTGATCAAGACTACCACACACTGACGATTCGAAAGCAAGTGCACGCGTTTAACTGGTTTATAAAGTATACCACTTATGACCGTACCATCAAGATTAAAGCTTAATCGATTTAAAATTTCAATTTAAGTGCACTTTACTGAGATATTTCTCGTTGTGTTCAAGCGAATTAAATTATATGATTTCCATTTTTTGGTAAAGTTTACATAAAATAGCATACAATGATATCTCTGGTTCATCAACAATCAATTTTTGTCGGATTGAATTATAAATGCTAGCTAGTGCATCATGCTGAATGAAGTGTAGTGTTTACGGGAACATGTCATATAGAAATATCGGTATTACAGTAAGCCATGATATCATACGTACTCATTGCCACGTTACACCCATGTCATTACCTACGTCCACCCAGCTCGTACATCAGGGGAATTCGACCTAGAGCTGTTTATGTATACTCAATATATTATTTGAATTTTTAGCAATATTTTGATCATGTGTAAAATATTGATTTACTGCCAATCGTACACATTGTAATAAATTCATAACCGAACTCAGTCCTTGACTCAAAGGTAGTTACTGGATTTCCTCCAAGGTGTACTAGTGAGGGCAGGTGACTGGATCGCGAGGTCATTCTCGTGACATGCCAAAATGAGGCTTGAACAAATGCGTGTTTTGTATGTAACTTCCTGTATGCTCTATAGAACAATGAACACGTATGTAAGTATTAATTAAACATTCCTATAGAACTTCATAGTGCAGAACAACTTTAGAAACTCTTTATAATCAGTTTGTTAACCACAATTAAAACATTTGTTTTATCATAAGGTTATAACAGAATGTGTAATAAGTGAGATTGGTTTATAGAAATAAAAGCAGGATCCGGAATACTGGGACACAATACAATATAGTAACTGTGTGGCTTAGTATGTATTCCTGTATAACCGTTCTTCGACCTGTAGATCCCTGTCTCTCTACTGGTACTGTGTACATAGAGAACCTTCTTCATTTTCTGATTAAGGATTCATGTTGTCTTCCGTTTTGTTTTGCTTTTTATGTCTCTTTATGTTTTTTCTGTTGATGACTTTTCGCATTAACTTTGAATTCCGATTTAGTCCTTTCAATTTGACGCTATAACATTTTGTACCGCTTATTTTACAGTGGAAATCTTTCAAAGTCCCTACAAAGACATTTGCTTTTCTTTAAAATCTCTTTAAGCAACCACTTCACGGTACGGTCGCACAAAATATTGTTTAAACCATTAATTCCAATACCGATAAATACTAAGTATTGTAGCAGAACGTCATACGCTCTCTAAATATGAGTACTCCTCCAGTGACTTTTCATGTCTATCACAGACATGAAAAGTCACTGGATAAATTCTCCCAACAGAATTTTGACTTAATATGATGTATTGCACAGCTGATAAAATCTTTAATCTACGACATGAGATTGATGTTTAATAAGTAAGTCTTACTAGGGTCGACAGTACTCTAAAGAGAGGCCTATCTCGTGCTTTGTTGCATTAAAATTCATCAAGTTTTATTTCATTCTTTATATGTACTTCACACACCAGAGAGAGGTGAGTGTTATCAGGGGAAAACCTAAGCTACCTGATCCATTTTATCAACAAAACGTGCCAAGTTTGCTTACATAAGGTCATAGATTTGGAAAAATCATTTTCTCTATTGAACACCTGTACGTTCATATATTGTAAGGCGATAAATTTCGTTCTCTTGGAAACTCCGCTGATTTATTTAACTGATCAAAATACCGGGTAATTCCTTTATAGTTTCTTCCCTTTTCGGTGAGAAACGTGGCGGGATTAGTTCGGTGTTGATAGGTGATAAAACGTGAGAGATGTATTAATCTCTCTAGTTTCGTTGAATAATTTGTTTTCGAATCAACTACCGATCAATGAGATATGACTAGTTTCGTGGTCCTTGTTTTTAACGTACAACGATGATATTTAGAGTTACATGCTTGATCATTGGAAGCTATTAAACAGGAAGCTTTTAAGGGGTATATGTCCTGCTACTTTTAAAAAATAGCATACTAATATAATAAAACGCAATAGAGCTTGTTATATCGGTTGTAATTCATACAAAGATGTCAATCCGCATTTTTTAATATATCTCTAAGAATTAACAAGATGAATTTTGCCGTAGTTTCTACTGGACAGTGGTTGTCCAAACATAACACATCCATATTGATAATTAAACACGTTCAGGTATTTATCATACTGCACATACTTGTCAATTAGTCATTCTAACAAACAGCCGTATAAGAAGAAACACACTTCCAACATTTAACAGTACAAAAGAAATAAGATACGGATTCAATGTAACATTTGATACTCGTTACTCTACGTCCTTGTCTGTGTGATAAAGTGACTTTAAATCCTGTTGACACGTCCATTTTAACGTCATTTGTTCCAATGTGTCTTTTAACAATAGATATAATTTGTGTTGGAACCTTTGTCCGGGGGAATCAAACGCTTCGGCAAGCTTCCAGAGACCTGGGCCTCGCTACGTCTCAGACCGTCGAAGCCATTGTCGTGTATATTATATGTAAGGTATGTTTTGGCTCTGAAACACAGAAATAAAAAACACGTATATAGGAAACACTCTATACCGGATCATTACATGGCATATGATATACAGTGTTGACGATTGATTCCAATGAAATTCTATCCCGAGCAGAAATTCAATACTGGTCCGATTGGGGTTATCGCTGGACTTGAGTTACACCTGAAGTCGCAGCTATAGACCGTAAGTCTATTTAAACTTATGATGTATGTACCAATATATGTATCTAATCACAGTCGGGAAAACGTTGCGGAGAATCGTGATGTGGGTTTGATTGGGCGATATACTTACGACACAGCTGTATTCTAAACAGTGCAATACCTTGATTGTTTACACATAGCTCGCGAGGCTATATTAAAGTTATCATAATCGATTATATCCTACTTACCGACATTGTTTTGAAAACTAAATTAATTTGGCAAAGTCATTACATAAAATTAAATTATATGACGTAAAGATGTTAATCGCTCCATTGTGTTTTTGTATATCCTTTGTGTAACGGTTTTGGGAAGGGATTAGTTTATAGGTCGTAGTTTACAAATGGGTTCTGTTTGTTCATTCCAAAGGCAATTAGCGATAATTAAAGGTAAACTATGTGTGTGTATACTCATCGATGTATTCTGAAGGGTTTGTGTAAGATCACTAAACAATTAGCGAGTTAATGTAATTCCGTATTCACACTATATTAACACGATATTTACACTTATGCTTTGATTTACTCTATAGAAACAGTTTATTTACACGATTTTACAATTTTGACATGGTTTTCAAATACGCTTGATCCAATCTGCTATGACAATCATGTTTGGAGGTGTTTGTAGAAGAATGTCCTTTTGGACATGGCTAGTTTATTGCTATGAAGAATTAGTGATACGGTTAAAATGAAAACAAACTGAGACAATCGGTTGCAATCAAGAAACAAAAACAAAATGTGGTGCTATGTCTGATACCTAATATTTTTTACATGGTGTACTTACACTTCGCTCTGTCCGTTCCTCAGTGCGTCAGTGTTTTCGTCTACTCATACAATTTATTGGTAACCTCTTTAACATTTCCTTTTGTGTGTGAGTTTGTAATACGCCGATTTTTCAAATAAGCAGGATATACATGTACATATATTCCCGTTGGGGTCGGATTTTACAGTTTTTCCTTTCTCCGTCGCTCCGTGACTTTTTCTGTTAATACAGGGATGTCTTATGTTATCATCAGTAATCATTAGACTATATTGTCCAAGTAAAATACATCAAACCATACAGAACCAGGGTGATTTGTTATCGTGTCAACAGTCGTCAATACGACTGCAATGTCCTTCATAAGTACATCAAACGATACAAATTGTCTGAAATGCCTTACAAGTTCACTGCTTGTGTTTTTTGCACATCATTGTTAAGATTGTGGCTTGCTTTGTGGATATTGGTTGAAAGAAATTAAACGTGGTTTTCAGACAATGTACATTATAAAGATAAGTTTGACGGAGACAGACTATATTGAATCTAAAACTGAGAGCGCACGGACAGAAAAGTCGAAGTTAGTCTATACTGCATCTAAAACAGTTAGTGTACACAGCGCAAACAGCAAAGTCAAAGGTAGTCTATACTGCATCTATAACAGTTAGTGTACACTGCGCAAACAGCAAAGTCAGAGTAAGTCGATGCTGAATCTTAAGCAGTATGTTATGTTATAAAATACTGGAAGACTCTACCAAAAGAACAGATTTAAATAAAACGTGCCATGGACACGTGTATCAGTGATACCATCATGAGGTACTGTGGTAGTTAGGAGGTTTCCATACGAATGCAATCTGATAAAGAAAAAACAATTGGACAGTTAAGAGCTAGTGTGCCTTTTGTTTTAATTGTTTAAAGGATAAAAGATCAAAACCAGTTTTGCTGCAAAACAAATTTTAAAAAAGTGTCGATTTTCCAAATTGATTTCTCCTCGTTGTTAACAAGCCATGTGCATTATAAGGGCGGTATCGCTAGTGGAACACGTGACTTCTAGCTGCACGTCTGTCACCGTAATCTACCAGTCGTAAATTAACCTGTTAAACGCGCCGAGCAATGCACACAACGGGGAGGTCAATGGTGCAACTCCCCGGGTGTAGATAGTACCGCCGAGACTTTGTTTGCGTGCAGAAACCGCGACGTCATCAGGAGGGAAGCGAAATGAACCACGTTATTGGTAGTCAATGTTATCACGTACAGTATAGACAGACATCAACTCGATATCGAGAACGCTTGCTCCTAAAGAGACATATTGTTTTAAGGCTCTGTGTGTGGTTCAGCGTCATTTTTGTAAAATGCCACATCTACAACTGTAGAAATATTTTTAAGGCACTTAAAACTTAAAAACTTTATTTTTCAATTAACTGAAGTGTACATGACTCTACACAATCTTTACAAATGTTATATTGCTTTAATTTGAAACAAAGCAATGAGCAGGGAGAGGTAACCATACGAATCATCAGGCCCCAGCCTTGACATGTCATTTTCGGTGTTATAAGAGGTATATTGTTGTTATGTCTTCAAATCCCAGAAGGGCGTTTACGCACAAGGCTCAGTGCCCCTCAGGACAAAGGAAATGTGTTTAATCGGGCGAAGGTTATTTAGCGCCTACAAAACCCAGACCCATGCAAAACTGATACAATGCAAAATTAGCGTAAAAATCAACTAATTCTTGCTTTATTCTTGTTTAAACTTCAATTTCAAAAGTGCTCAATACCAAACAACGGGGTTTTGATATTAATTAAATGTACCATTCTCTTATCAAACAAAGTTCAAGTGTATATCTCGACAATGCCAGGAATACAAGCTCCGTTACTTTGATCAAAGGTT